CTCTCCCACCCCACCCGGTCTCCTCCCCCACCCAACTCTGGAAGCGAGGCCCGAGTGGCTTGCAGCCGCTGGGCCTCACCGATCTCCTCCTTCCCCTTCCCCCTGGCCCCAGCGGTCTCCTCCGCTACCGCTGATCTCTTCCTTCCCCCTCCCCCACGGCGAGGCCTGAGTGGCTTCCAACCGCCAGCCCGCTGCAGAGTTCCAAGAACGTTCCCTGCGCATGCGCAGGGGGTGCTCTTTTTCTTTCTTGGGGATTTCAGTATCCCCCCTATAGTTTTTTACAGTTTTTCGATTCTTCTGCACATCTGGTGATTGCCCCAGATGTGCAGGAAAATCTCCCTGCCCCCCAGGTGCCCCCGATGTGCAGATTTAGATATCCACACACAGGGGGCGCCTTCGCTATTAGATATATAGATGAATATATTACCAAGCGCTAAATTGTCAGTTCTTTTTCCTTTTTTCATATGTTTAGAAGATGACAGGTAGCATGACAGCACAAATCGACTATCTGAAGGGCTACCCCACAGGAGAGGGCAAAAACGTATTCTCTGCACTTTCATAGAAGAAAGCTGGCTCTAATGGGCTTTAGTAACAAGAGGCTAGATTTCAGTTAAATGCTGGAGAAAACTTTTTAATGGTAAGAGCTGTTCAACAGTGGAATCTATTACCTAAGCAGAGGCATTCCCTCTCTGGGGGCCTGAAACGAAGAATCCATAATTAACAGTAGTTTGACTTTTTCCAGTGAATTGCAGTGTTGCTATAAGTAAGCTACGATTCATGATTCCTCAGATAATCCTTTCAAATAACCCAGAAATGTTATTTTAGGGGCAACAACCAGCAAGCATCCTGTCAAGCCATAAATTAATCCAAATAATCGTTTGCCAAAAGTTTTGAATTGGAAGACAATTTTTTTGCAAAAGCCACTTAAAATTATTTGCTTGCTATCTCCAACATCAGCATAATTTAAAGCGAACAATATGGTGTATTTTAAAATTAGCTGTTCCAAGAAAGAATTGCTTTCTGAAGATGGTTAATCAGAAATAGTGCTTTGATGAGGTCAGGAATTTGTGCGGATCGTTGATTGTTCAGTAGGGCCAGAAGGGGGAGCCAAAGTACTGGAAAGTGGTGGGAGAGGGAGAGAAGTTTCAAGGACTCTTCACAATTTGTTATTTTTTTCTACAAGGAAACCACTTCCCTGTGCCAAAAAGGATGAAGAACACATGCAGACCATCAACTGCCTATTTCACTGTCTACACACAAGTTCAGGAACTGTGACTAACTGGCTTCCTGACACATGTAAATGCATGACGTACTTCTCTAACAGTTCAATCCTATTTAAATTTCATCCAATCCAAGGCTGTGGATTTTGGTGCATCTAAATTGGAATAATTCTGCATAGAATTGAACTGTAATCTCACATGATGTTTGGCATGTGGTTTTCATGCTTTAAAAAAAAATGCAAAAATGCCTTCCAAGGAGAAAGACATTTTAAACCTTAAAACGTGTGCAGGTTCATTGCAAACAGCCAATATTATCCCAGGTTAATTCTAGTAGATTGTCTATCCTATAGCAATTTTACAACAGTAATTGGTTTTCTCGGGCAAGTGGAATGAAGACACATGGGAGCCTGACCTCCTCAGGCAGGCTTTTCTTCAAGGCAGGAGCCACCACAGCTGTCAATCTTACCCATTTGCAGGGTGGCACCTTTAGAAGGCTTTGCTCAGATGAGTGAAGCTGTCATAGCAGAACAGGAGAGATGGTCCTGCCAGTACGTGGATCCAAGGCCATTCAGGGCTTTGAAAGTGATAACCAGAATTAGGGATGGGCATGAACCACCCCCTCTCCCTGCTCATACCAAGCAGAGGGGCTTAGCTACTGGGTGCTTCAGCTGAGGACCCACATTTATACCTTCCTGATTGTGAACACCTCTGTGCCCAGACACCAGCAGCTGCTAACATTCTTTGGAGAGGAGGACTCCGACAGCAGTGATTCTCCCCTTCCACGCAACTTCCTGTTGCTGCTCCCATCTTGAGTACACCCTTCTGGCCCCTTCCAGCCCAGCATCAGAAAACAGCTGTTCGTCCCACCTTCTCCGATCCTGGGCCCCCATTTCAAGGCTACAGTTTGGAAATATTTCTGCACACTCCCCAGTGACCCCTGTGTGGCAGAGTGCCAGGTGTGCCATGTCTATGTTAGGAGGGGCACAAACCCCCAACACTTGTCTTCCTCAGGCACCTGCAAAGAGTGCACCCCAGTATGCTGCCCGAGGAAAGACTGGCGGTCAGTGGGACAAAAAAGAGGCCTACTCCCTCTCAGCAGTGAGAAGTGGAGGGGGAGCAGGATGCCTTGAGGTAACCATAGCATGGATCCATGTAGCCAGGTCAGTTGAGTGAAGGTAGGAGGCTCTCTTGTGAGCTAAAAGAACCAGGTAAAATGCCTTTTTTTTTTTGTAGCTGCATTAGCTTGTTTCTTCAGTAATAGTGTTGGATCCAGTAGGTTCTTAACCTAGTCAGTGAGTGTCATTTGGACCCCATTAATGGTGGAGAGCACAATATTCTTCAAGATTTCAATATGACATAA